TTAGTCCATTATCATGGTAGGACATGGTGGTATGCACGCAGACAAGGTGCTGGAGAAGTAGCCAGAGTGTTCTACATCTTGACTTGCAGGCAACAGGAAGTGGTCTGTCTCATATGAGCCTCAAAGTCCACCTCCACACTGACACACTTCCTCCAACAAGACTGAACCTACTCTAATAAGGCCACACCTTCTAATAGTGCCACTCCCTTTGGGGGCCATTTTCTTTGAAATCACGGCAGCATCCAACACCTTCTTCTAGATTCCATAGGTACCCACATTCGCATGCATATACCACTCCTACACTTACACATATAATTTAAAAATAATAAAAATAAACTTTAGAGAGATTTCAGGGTCAGATAAAATAGTTTATAGTTCATAACAGAGCATGCCCAACAAACATCATGTTGCCATTGGTTCTCATCTCCACTTTATCCCGTGACTGAGAGGCAGAAGGGCCTGTATCTATCTATACCTGTCCTTTCTGGGATGAAGTGATTTTGTGTCATACCTGATGAAGTCCTTTATAATGGCTAAAAGGAACTCACCTGTCCCTTGCTCTGAAGGGGATATTTATTTTCCTGGACAGTCAATGAATGCTAACTTTGCTTCATAGGAATGTTACATCTATTTTCCAATTGATTAGGTCCTCACTCGGACTGTGAACACTCGATTTTATGGATAATTCTCGAATAGAAATTATGTTTTAAGGGTCTGGGTGTTTAGCTTAGTGGTAAAACACATCTAGCTTTTGCAAGACCCTGGGTTTAATCCTTAGAACTTTAAAAATAATTTTTATTGTAATAATTTGACTCATATATAAGTTGCTAAATTACTGGAAAGAGTAGATCAATTATAGGTCTGAAGAATACATAAGTTCACATGCCGATGTAAGATGAGCCAAGTGCAGGTGGATTGAGAACCACTGAGGGAATGAACTAGACTAGAATTTTTCTTCTTCTTTTGGCCATGGCCTGTATTGTGCTGATCATAAGGAACATCTCTATCCTATTAAACTTTTCCTTTATGCTACATTTAGTATAGAAGTACATTTAGTATAGAAGACAGAAGATGGAAAATCCCAAAGATCATTTATTTACCTTAAAAACACCAAGTTTTTTTTTCTTACAGATTCTGATTATTCAGTTCAGTCTGGCCTGACACTCTAGACACTCTATGTAAACCTGTCAGTGGCCAAGTCAGAGAGAGGAGCAGCAGGTGGCAATTGACTTCAGGATATTTGCCCCCAGCATTCAAGGCACTTATGGGTGAAGCTTGAATAGGAAAGGCTGAGAGAGCCTTGGCCCCCAAATGTCTCTTGCTACTGCTATGTCTTTATATGTTTGCTGCTGCCATTTTTCTCTGGTATCTGGCATGATGTGAATGGGCATGGGGAGATCCCCACTGCCTTTAATGTGGTATGATTATCTCATGGAAATATCCTGTTCTACTGGGCATTTCAACCTGTGGATTATTATGAAGATGGTTTCCTCCTAAGCTGTACTGTTTAACTAAAGCAATGATTTTATATAATAACAGTGTTAGTTAAATAGGATTTTGTTGATTGAGGGTCTTCAATAAATAGAGTGAGGACTTGTGATAGAGGTTAGCTTAGTTGGAAAACTAATATAGGTAAAAGCAAGATAATGGTATAGCCCCTCCCCCCATAGAGCAGGGGCTGCAGATGATAGAAAAATAGGAACAAAAAAGTGTCACACAGCTAGTTACTCTCAAGGAGCCATATAGACAGTGGCTTAGGTTAATGATTAAGAAAAACAAGTGAGTTCCAGAAGGTAAGTTAGCTCAAGTTCTTTTCATCTTAATGTTGAGAGGTGTGCTTGTAGATGTCTGTGTGCATCATAGATGAAGCAAAGCTTTATTTTTAACTTGAGATTGGGTTAAAATGTTTTTGTTAATGGCTTTGAGATAGAAAATCTTGTAAAACAATTTAAAATTTAGAAAGGCATCATTTTAATAGCTGAGCGAGGGGTTCATTGAGGTCAGGGAGCAGGAACAATGGCAGCCTGTCTATTGCTGGGCTGACATAATTTTCTTGCTAGATTGGGTAAGACTAATTTCTTGTACCCATTTCCTCCTCAGCTTCCTGATATTAAAAACCAAAAAACAAAAAACAAAAACTGTTGATGAGTGGGTATGTACCCTGAGGATTTAAAATAGAGCTGACTAACTTTTTTTCATATACAAAAGTTTAGATTTGTGATTCCTTTGAGATTTTTTTTTATAAGATTACCATGAGATAAATAGCAAAGTGATTGGTCCTTTGTTTGTAATCACAAAATACAGCCTGCCAGTAAAAGAAGTGGCTGAGAAAAATACTTTGTTTGCTTACACCCTGTTAATCTATAACAAGTTGCTTGGGTATGAATGTATGTGGGTTCTTGGGACAGCTTGGTTTTATCTGTAACATGCAAAATGTTTAATATTGTATGGGATATTGAACACATGTTGTTTTTTACTTGTATCTATTGTAATCATTCACTTAAAATAGATTGCAACCACATTGTAATTTTTATATTGCTTAAATATTTCACTGGGGCACATATAGCTATAAGGAAAAAAAATAAAGACATCAAGAAAGACAGAAGAGAGCCATCAATGTAGAAAAACAGAACAGAAAAGAATAGAATAGAACAAACAACAGAATAATACAATAAAGAACTTTATTTGGCCCTTAGAAAGTCCGTGTGTCTCTCCAGTAGTTCTAATGCTCTGCATCTCCTCTTCAGATAAGTTTTATTTGCAAAGATAATGAGGTTCTCTCCAGTTTAAATAAAATAAAGTGACACGATGCTAATTAACCCCATATTTGTCTATTACCATGATTCCTATACTTTCTTTAAAGGAAAATAATTTTGAAATTTGAAATTACCAATCTTTTTTTCTGTTCTGCTTTTTTTTTTTTTTTTTTTTTTTGCAAGCCCTTCTTCATTTGAAAAACTTGCCTGTTTGGAAAATTTGGCCGTTAGCTGGCTAATTTTTCAAGGGCTGGCATCTTAAAAATTTTTTTGTTGAACTCAGAATCGCATTAATGCCAGGCAAGCCTTCCACCACTGAGATGCACTCCGTACCCACCTTTTATCTTGAATCCTTGCTCTCTGAGCTGGTGTGCTTGGGTTTCAGTGAACATGAGAATTCAAGGGTCAAAGATAAGCAGATTTGGACAGATTGCTTTGCGAACAAAGTTCTGGCTGAGCTTTGAGCTGTCAGTGACAGATCGTGAACTTCGGAGTTGAAGGAATGGTTTGGGCAGCTACTCCTCTTGCTCTGCTGGAGCAGTGAAGCCACATTTCCAGATCTCAGAACTAAAGGTGGTAGCTACGCTCGTACCCCAGAATCTTCGCTCCCTTTCCCCAAATACAGCTGCCTAAGGCTGAGGCCATGCTCTGCTCGCTCAGGAGTGGCTCTTCCCACTATTGGCTTTGATGAATGGCCTGCCATAACAGCTGGTCAAGGCATAGTATGTCTTCCATTTGCTTTTCCCTCACATCCAGCGACCCACAAAGATCTATTTGCTCTGTTCGACACATCTGAAAATTTCCTTTTCTGTCCTCTTTTTATCTCTTCCCAGATCTTGTATATGTTCTTGTCTACCTCTCTGAAACCCTCCTTAAAATGGGACAATGCATAGTCAATGTATTTTAAGCACCCTCTGCAGTAGTTATCCTGCTCAGAACATTTTCATCATGAAGCACCTACACTGAAATTTGATCTAACTAGCTCTGTTTAATTTTTTGTGGCTTCATTCTCTTCCTGCCCCAACCTTGCCAGTGTCCCCTTCCTGGCAATGCCCCTTCCCATCCCAGTTTAAGCAGTTCTCCCTCACTTCCTTGAAAAGGTGTTTCTTTTTATCTTTTCCTCTGCAAGGGTGCACAGTGTTCCTGTATTTTGCCACCATCTGTCATTACACATACACACTTTTTTCTCAAGTCCGGTCAGGCTGCAGTGCTGGTGAAAGTTAAGCAGTGCACTGTCGATAGTTTCAATAGCCTTTTTGTTTAGCTGGGGTTGTTTCTAAGAACTAGCTGCTCCATATTTGTTGAATAAATGACTGACACTGTATGGCTGTTCCAAACATGTAAAATCTAAGCTCATTTGGCAGCACTGCATGTATGTATGTATGTATGTATGTATGTATGTATGTATGTATCTACTATTTATTTATCATCTATTTTTGGTTCACTGTGTCTGGGAAGGGAGTAGTGGGGGGTTCAGGATTCTTCATTTTGACAGTTTTAGAATGATTTCCATATAAGAGATCCAGGGGATAGATACATTGAGAACTCTTGATTACTGTGAAGGATAACTTCCTTTTTTTTTTTAGAAGCTATTTCAAAAAGCCTCTCCAGAATGGAAGCCAAGTACTATTTATCTAGGTCTATGTCAGAGGCTGAACTCAGAGCACGTTATTGAGTGGATGATGAAGCTATAGGGAGATCGATGCAAGGAGAATGTGGAATCAGCCATCTTGACATAGATCTTGGCTGTACTCTCTTCCAAAAGAATCTTTCTTAATTGACCATTTTAAATAAAACAATTTTTTATTTTAAGTAACTGCAGTTCATTAATTTACTAGGTTTAGTTTTGAAGTTTTTGGGCCGTGGTGGTGTTTGGTTTTAAGTTCACAGTTTTGTTAAAACAAAAGGAACTAAAATGTTTCGATGGCCTTGTTTTAATGTTATGTTTGAACAGTCTAAGTCCCTTAAATATAGGTTCCTTGTTAAGATACATGCCCTGTGTTGTTAAAGACCAACAAACAAAAACAAAACGACGACGACGACAAAAACAACAAAAGAATTTCCAAGCCAATTCTCGGACAAATTTTCTAAGTGGAATCGTATTGGACTACATTTCCCATGATGCCAAGCCAGACCCACGCAGGCGCACTTGGAAACAGAGCCAGTTTCCGGAAATCGCTCAGGTCACTTGCTGGTGTCCCGCCCCTTCTCTCTCCGCCCGATTTCTAGGTCTGGCAGAGAGAGCATACCCAGGGACACTGCCAGTGCGTGCGTGGTGCAGGCTAGACTCATGGCTTCGCCGCTGAGGTTCGACGGGCGTGTAGTCCTAGTCACGGGCGCCGGGGGAGGTGAGCCTCGCGCCGGGTCCACTGTCCCGATGGCAGAGCTGCAGCGTGCAGCTGCGGGGTGCCGAGCTGGTGCTGGCACGGGAGGGACCGGTGTGGGCCGGGCACGCAGGGTCACTGGTCACACTGGAATACTGGCCCTGTAGGTAGGTGCTCCGGAGTTCCCAGCCAGGAAGGAGCTTCCAAGATAAACGGTTTTCCAGGGTAGATGCAAGCATTGTTGTCCTGTACGCACCTGGGTAAAAAGTTCGTACTCTGTTTTGAGTGGGCATGGACTGTGAGTTTTGCTGCCTTTGGGCGCTTAGGCCTCTGTCAAGTCACACAGCGGCTTGAAAAAGACCTCTTGGGCCTGGCATTTCACCCAAGGGGTTGAGGTGACTTTGACTTTGACTTTGAATGGTAAGTTGTTTAGTGTTTGTTTTCCTCTGTTTCATGATTCATGTTGTTGAGAGGGCCACGTACCAAAGTTCACCAGAATTATGGCAAAGGTCGCAAACTCAAATGTGTGAAAGGGTGAGAGATGATACACGGATAAGGGGAGGCAAGAGGAGATCTTGAGAGCAAAGGCGTTTGTGTAGTGAGCCAGCCAGTGAAGAACCTGCCAGTCTTTTATTTCAAAGTAAAAGAATTGTAACTGAAGCAATGCTAATTTTAGAGGGCAGGGAATTAAGCAATTCACACGTGGGTAGATGTTTTGCAGTGAAATTGCGCCATTAGTTTCACACCTGTTAGTGGCCTCTAACTTCCATGTGTAGAACATTGACTTAATTGATCTCATCTGGCCCAAGCTGGCTTTACACTTCTGATCTTCCTCCATCATTACCTACGTCTGCCACCTATAGTGGGAACAGTCTGATTAATTTATCCATTTTGGTTTATTTGTATACATATATATCAGTTCACCCAAAACATACACTTCCTGTTAAGCTTCTCCACTTAGCAATGAAACTTATTAACTAAAATTGAAAAAAAAAATAAAGTTAAAGAACTTAAAGCCAGAAGAAAATCTTCCATCCCTGGTTACTAGCCTCACTGGTCAGCTCCCCAAAGCTTATCTCTACTTGTTGGTTTCATATATTCAGAGTTAAAATGATTTTCAGTTGACAGTTGTATATTCAAAATTCTGCACTGATTATAGAAATCACTAGATATTTTGGAAAAGAATTCAGCAGAAGCTTTGGGTTTGAGAGGTGGGGTTTCAATCTGTTCATTGCTGTCATAGGCTAAATAGCCTAGGATAGCAGGGATCTGAAGTATGGAAGCTGCCATTCAGGGATTAGGAGGCCAGGTCAAGAAGTTACCTCTTCAGGCATGATTTTTATATACAAGAACCTTTCTAGAGAAGTAGCTTATTAAGCAGCAAGTGTCAGAGCCTTGGTAACGTGGTATTTGTGTCACTTCTAACTTTTAAAATTTCACAAAAATGCACCTAGTGGTGGATACAGTTCACATCTGGCATCTAGCAGCCAAGAAGGATGCCTGGCAGTGGTTGGGGAAGTAGATGGGAAAATATGGTTCTAACTTTTACAGTCAGAAAGAGAGTCAAGAGGATATTCAGAGTACCAACGGAGCTGCAATCTGCTGTTGTAACTAATTGTTGACTTGTTATTTTGGGATGGAGATCAAGTTTCATGGACCAAAGTAATTGTTCTAATATTTTTCAATTTTCTGTTTGTTTCTGATTAGGACTGGGCAGAGCTTATGCCCTGGCTTTTGCAGAAAGAGGAGCGTTAGTTGTTGGTAAGTTGTTGTGTTTTTCTTTTAAACTAGTAGCTGTCAGCAAAAAACACAATTTTCTCAAGTGCCTTTTGTTCTCTTATTGCATAATTAATTAAGATTTAATTTCATGGTTTTTACTGCTATCAGAGAATGTTTTAGTTTAAGGCCTTTCCTTTTAATTTAGGGATATTTGTTTGTTTATTGTTATTTGTCTGTGCACCATGTGTGTGCAGTGTCTGTTGGGGGCAGAAGAAGGCATCAGACTGGAGTTACAGACCATTGTGAGCTGCTATGTGGATGCTGAGAATTGAACTTGAATCCTCTGGAAGAGCAGCAGTCAGTGCTAATCTTTTGACAGGAGATTAAAGGAGAAGCCCTTGGTAAATACCTTGGTAAAAGTAAGACATATTTAAAGTTGGAAGTTTGGAACCAAGAGGCCATAACGTATGAGTTATCTAGTTCTTTAAACAAATATCAATGGAAAGCTGCTTAAAACTTAAAACATGGAATCTTAGTGTCAGCTATATGACTTAGTGTCAGCTCAATGACTTTGGGTGGAGACTGGTCAAAAGGTGGGCTATCATAGAATCCTGAAGGATTTAGTATCTGGAATAGTTAAGATTGGCATCATGTGTTTGTCCACAGTTGGGACTGAATGAGTGCTAGAGCAGGGATATATGCAGGGCAGATGTTCCAGCAGGATAATATTTTGTAGCATATTTCCTAGGCTAAAACTGTTGGCTGGCAGTGGCCTCCTAAAGTTTGGATACTGTTAATATTCAGCAGTACTGTGTATTTCAGTCTCTCTTTGTCGGGTCTTTTTGCAGATGTTTCATGGGCCTGAAAACATACCCTGTTGCTTTTTCTTTCATGTGCTATGAAGTTCTTAGTATTTCTACCCTAACCTGTTTATTTATTTATAATGGAACTTCTTCTCACTTTTCAAATTTTCACAGATCTTGTCCAATCTTTCCTATCTCCTAAAGGACCCTAGAATACTTCCTTTTGCAAAGAGGGCATTTTGGTCATTGGTACTTTTATTGGTGACATCTTTTATGAAGAAGGAGCTGTATGAGGTTTCCCCCCCCTTTTGTTTGAAATATATTTATATTTATATTTATATTTATATTTGTTTCAAGCCAGGGGTCCTGGGGATCCTTGTAATCCTAGTACTTAGTAGGTAGAGACATGAGGATCAGAAGTTCAAAGCCAGCCTTGGCTACATAGTGAGTTCAAGGCCAACCTAAGCTACGTGAGAACCTCTCTCAAAAACAAAAACAAACCAAAACAAACAAGAAAACAGTCTGCCCAAAACCAAACTCCAAGCCCCAGGACAACAAACCAAACACACAAGATTGCATGGACACCTCTCACCCTCTCATCACAAATCTTATTTCACAGACAATTTCACTGGTCTCTACAGTCAAGGCTCTTTCTCAGCATATTAAAAGAAAAGAAAACAAAAAAACTACAGGGATGTAAGAGCTTACATAAGTTCTTGTTTTCCTGTAAGCCTTGAATACATCAAATTCAGACAATGAGTGTTTGAGTTCAAAGGAGAGATCAAATATACAAGGACAACATGTCTATTCTCTCATTGCCTTGGGATAGGTATTGCGATAAGTCCTAACTGAAAGATCAAGGAGGCAGAATTAAAATATTTGCTAAAGGTGGCAGAAAGATAGTTTTAATTAGGTATTAGAGGGCAGGATTCAGTCTTTGTGAGGTTATAGACAGACAGACAGACAGACAGACACACGCTCTCGTGCTAAATGCTGGGGTTACAGGTGTGCACCACCACACCAGGCTTGATACAACAGACCTTTTTGGTGCTGCTTACCCTTTTTTCATCTGTGACTTTCCTTGGAGCACTGTAGGCCACCAAGGCATTTTGTTCCTCCAAATCAGCCCTGTGCTCTTCATTGGAATTAAAAAAAAAAAAAAAACAAAAAAGAAAACAAAAAATTCACAGACACCTTGCTTCAAGGCCTCAAGACTGCAATATATAGTGCTAAACTTTTTGTTAATTTTTGTGTTCACTGTGATGATTCATAGATCATATAATTGGTTCAGAATATAGTAAGAAGTGTAAGATCTTAAGAAATAAAGTAACTTATGCTAGACTATAGGTTTTACATGTAATGGCTTGTTGGGATAGACAGATACTCCTTCCTTATATGACCATTCAGCTATTCCTGTACTGTAGTCCCAGATGACAGGTCAGCTCTTAACTGGAGCATTGTGATGCATCAGAGGAGATATAATGCTATGTGCCAGATAGTTTTATGTCATCCTGACACAAATTTAAGTCATCTGAGAGGAGGGAATGTCAATTAAGAAAATACCTCCATAAGACCCAGTTGTGGGCAAGCCTGTAAGGCATTTTCTTTATCAGGGATTAATTCAGAGGGGCTCAGCCCATTGTGAGTGGTAATACTTTGCCTTTAGAGCGTGAAGGTAAGATAGAGGTCTTGTAGTAGGAACTTCAGTAGAAAAGTTAAAAAGTTTTGTCCTCTTGAAGTGAGGAAGTAGCATCTTGGATAAGTTAAGCTACACTCTTATGAACTATGAACATGACTTCTTTTCTTTGTGGAATTTACACAATAACTATGAACATGACTTCTTTTCTTTGTGGAATTTGCACAATAATGGGTAAGCCAAATCTTCAATTCCTGTGGGCTACATTCACAGTGTTTCCACCCTTGTGTGACCCTGACAGCTGGAAGGTAAGTCACGGAGGACAATCCATTGGTTGACCTTGAAACCAGGTGATAGTTTGAGTCTTGCTGTTCTATTGCCTAAGTTGCTACATCATCTCCTGGTAGCTACTTTCCCTAATTTGTAGGATTAAATTGAGATTAGAGAGAAGATAAAGGAACCAGCAGTACACACCAGTATCAAATACACATTGTGTGCCAAGACCTGGACTGAATTCATAAGTCAACATGAAATGTGAAATAATTTTTAAAAGTTTTTTTTTTTAATTTGTGTGTGTATATTAAGATGGTGAAGTTTAGTTTGATAATGGTGTTTTGAGGTGGGACCTTTGGAGATTAGGTTTCGGTGGACCTTCTGTGCACTGCCCCCCATGAAATCTGGTAGCTTTATGAGGAGAGAGAAGAACCAGGGAGAGGGAGAAACTCCCCCCTCTCTCTCTTGCTCTCTCTCTCTCCCCCCTCCCCCTGTATAGGTCAACTTCAGGAGCTGGCTCCTATTGGCATGGAGCTTACTCATTTGTTTAGGCTAGCTAGCTAGCAAACTCCAGGTATTCTCCTGTCTGCTTCCCCAGCCCTGGCATTGCGTGTACCACCATACACAATTCCTTCATGTGGGTTCTGGGGATCAAACTCCGGACTTCATGCTTGCAAGGCAAGTAATTTACTGACTGAGCTATATCCCAAGCTCCATATCCCTCTCCCCTCTTAGAGAAAAGATCTCGTGTATCATGTCTTCCAGGCTGATCTTCAACTCTGTATGTTAACAAAGATGGTCTTGAATTCCTGACCTTCCTGCTTCCACCTCTTAAGTGCTGAGACTGCAAGTGTGTACCTCCTTGCCTAGGTTTTATGGTCCAAGTACTCTAGAATGTTGGACTTTGAACATGCTAGCAAGTATTGTACTAATGCCCCTAAACCTCTTGTTCTCTATAAAATAGCCTGCTTTATGTCATTAGTTATGGTAATGAAAAGCAGACCATAGATCCATGCAAGAAGTGGTAGTGGTTTAGAAAGAGTGGTAGGAATGGAGGTTAATCTCTGGGTATATTTTGTAGGTAAGTAAGTGGACTGGGGTTTATTGAATGTTTATATGTGAATTGAAAGGGAAAGAAAAGTTGAGGATTATTCCAAGGTTTTTGAGTTGAGCATCGGAAAAATTAAATGTGTCCATCGCCTAAGTCAGGGAAGAATGAAGGAGTAGCAGACTAGCAGGTAGGAGACATTTCTGTTAGATTTGCAATAGACAGTGGGGTCAGCATTCTGAGATGGAGGTCAGAGGTAGGTTGAAAAACTTATTTTCTTTATTTTCCTCTTCTCCCCTTCCCCTCTGCCACATTTAGTCCAGGCTGGCCTAGAATTCAATCTGTAGTCACATATAGCCTTCAACTCTTGATCCTCCTGCCTCTACCTCTTGAGTGACCAGTCTCCATTACATATCCGCTGTTGGTCTCCCACAGAAAACAGAATATTAGATGTATACTCTGAGCATTGTCCTGTATAGGTAGTATTTAAAACCAAGCTTCTGATTATGCAGAGTACAGATGAACCAGGAAAGAGGCCCAAGGATCAGTCTTCATCTTTCACTTCCAGCTTTCTTCTCCTTTAAGGGAATGTTGGCCTCCTTCTTGGAGAGGCAAAGATAATCAATTAGAGGGATTGCCAAGGCTTGACTGGTGGTGTTAAAAGTGGATCCCAACTGTGCTGAGGTGTGGCTTTTTTGAAGAGGATTAAGGCAGGAAGGCTCTGCCCTCCTGAATGAGATTAGCACCCATGAAAGGGACTAAGGTTGAAGGAGCTCTCCCTTGGTCTTCCCATCTTTCTGTTATATAGGCCTCAGCCTTACTCCCCTCTGGAGGAATCAGCCACAAGGCACTAGGAGAGTTAAACACACAGCTCATTCTTCAGTGCAGTGAGGTTTGTAGTTGTTCTTCCTTGAATGCCAGGAATGATGCAGTTTTACAACCTGGTGATCAACTGCTGTTTGATGAGATGGCGTCTACCTGTAACTCCCAGAATTTATGTTTTTACTTCATCCCGGACCCTTTCCCCCTAAATTTTGAGCATTGCTTTTAGGCCATAAAACTCATCTTTATGAGAGATGATATGTTAGCTTACGCCAGGCCAACCCTGACTCCCACTGGCATTATGTTTACCTTAGTCATTCTCCCTAGACCCTTATCTAGAACATTGTCTCTAAGTCAACAAGAACCCATCTTACAGATGAAGCCATATGTACTTGGTGAAGAGCTTCAGTGTAAATGTGTCTTAAGCTTTGCTGTACTCATGGGGCTGAGCTAATTGTTA